CTCAAAGTAATCATTCTCTGCATATACTGATTTCTTAAAGGATGAATTTCCATAGTAATGTTTCTTGCACTATACCATGAAGTCATGTGAAATAAAATGTGCCTTACCACATAAATTCAAAGCTCATTTTTGAAAAAAGTTTATTTTTTTTAATAGTTTTGTTTTTCCTCATGTAAACAGAAACGGTCATGAAACCTTGAGGTGCCTGCTCTTTAGAAGCCATTAGGTCAACTTTTTAAGAGTAGAGCTGTTTTGCATTGAGCAAATCCTGATAGTGACATTGTTATCAGACCTGTATCCAAGTCCTCTCATTTCACCTAAAGACATTTTTCTGGAGAACAYAGTGGAGAAAAATAATTTCCTCTAAGCTTATCAAGAGTTTAATAACTTCAGACTTACAACAGTATATTATATGCTCTGGACTGGCATAATGAAAACTCATACCAAGTCTTCCCCATTTTTTCATCTTAAGTTCTAAATTTAGTTTTCTAAGCTGATTTTACATTTTGAAATATGAATTTATATCACTTCATTATCCAGGACCTCAAATCTGTTTTCCTAAAACTAGTATATTTGTGTATTTAGTATAAAAAGAACAAAGATTTGGGGAATCTAAGGACAGAAAAAGTATCCTAAACTTATTTCATGTTTGAACTCTGGAAATAAACTGCTGCAACTAGGGAGAATGTCATATAAAAAGTTTAACAGAAGGAAAGGACTTGGGTCTTTGCATGTATTCCTGTAAACCTATGCAAGAGGACCATCAACTGCAAAGAGAATACCAAGTATTTCACTTCAGGTATTCAAGGAAGAAACTAGGAAATGTTATATAACCTGTACATCAAGGTTACCAATTACTCTTCCCCATCTTTTAATAAGTTTTATTTAAGATTGATCCCAGAATCCTAACATAACAACTGTTAAATATACAAGCATCAATTAATTTGGAATACCTATTAGAATCACTGGAACACATTTAGTTGGGCCCTTTTACTCTTCCACACAGCACATTCACATGGACAGACTAAGGAAAAGGAGATGAAATTTAAATCAGCATTTTTTTCTTTATTATACTTTTCCAAAATAAAAAATAAAGTACGTTGGAACCTTTTATTATTGTACTTGTCCATGACTGTCTCTTAACTAGGTACCTTTAGAAACTGCCAAATAATTTCTGATCATTAAGTATTAATTTCGTCTTCTCTGTAGGCTTTAACACTATTTACATCACAYTTTTGTATATTCTAGCCATCTTTGTTAGTGGTGGTTTCATTTAAATTTTTTGGCTAATATCCATTTGTAGCAATGCTTCAAGTGCTTGCCACATACATTTTATTAGGCAAAACTGATTCTATTTCCCATAGTACAATGAAATGGGACTGTCAAGAAAAAAAAAAAAGTAACTCGGTACATTATCAGATGCTTTTAGCTTTTTAGCCTGCAATCCCTGAGTAACTTTCAGTACTGCATATTATCAAGCAGAACATGCTCGTGATTATGCCATCACCAAGCATGGTGATTTTAACAGTGCAACATARGAACCAAGCCTTTATAAGACATTTTCCAGAGGCTAGCCTCATCTGTCATTACCTCATCTCTTTCAACTACAGTATATTTTCTTGTACCCACAGATTAAGATGTTAAAAAGCCAAAACCCCATACCTCAAATGTATGCTGAATCTTGGCATGAAAAAGAAACCTTAGGTTTATATTCTAAAGGAAATTAGGCTATTAGAAAGTAATGCCTTAAGTTCCTTGCTCTAACAACTAAGTTATGCTAAAAGCTCACCTAACCAAGCAAGGATTACTGATGCCCTAACCTATCACTTATCTTCAGTGCTATTTTATCAACAATGGGAACCCCATAAGATACAAAGGGGTTTTTATGATTAATTCAAGGTTAGCTTTATTAATATAATCCTTTCAATCTCCAACCTATATAGATCTAAATAAATAAGTTCCTAGAGAAATGAATCAAACTTAAATCACCTATATTTTTAGCCAAGGAGCAAAGATGTGAAAATGTTCTTAATGTTAAGTGCCAAACTTCTGTTGTTTCCCACCTAAGTTCTTATTTCCCATGGTCCTGTTTTGCATAATCTCAGACTGATGTGTTAACACCAAATAAACTAGTATATACTTAGCAAAAGGATAGCTGGTGACCTCTAGCTTTAATGTTTGTCTACCCAATACTAAGGGATGAATATTACTTCAGAAAGTACTACAGTTCACTTCTAAGTTCTCAAAGGGCTTATTTTTAATACCAAGGTTAAAACAAAGGTGACTCCAGCACTAGTTTGATGCATAGTGTTTTTATGCTTCTCTTACAAAGGTACCTGTTAATAGTGTTAGTGTTAAGCAAAAAAACCTGAGTATTAAAAAGTTAAAAACAAAAAAGCAGTAGCCTGGCTAAATCTATTTTTTTAATATAAAAACTTGGGAGGAATGACAACTATGCCTCTCCCCAATCCAAGCTAAGTCATCCACATATGAAGAGTACTGTAGTTCTACTGAACATTTTAGGTAAACTTAGGCAATTCATAATTAGTTTTTATTCTCAATAGAAGTTACTAACGGTTCCTTTATAATTTATGCTTAGGCGAGTTCCAGTGCATAGGTATTATAATGTATTGCCAACCCTTAACATATATATCCTTGCTTTTATTACTAAAAACATTAAAACTTGGTTTAAGTTTTTCAAGATCTACCTCAATCAATCTCAGTTGCAGAATTATGGACTTTTTAGACTCAAACCATCTCAAAAACTTTATAGAGGAAAAAAAAAAAACTCCAGAAACAATATTGCATTATCTTCCCAGAGGAAACATCTGATAGGAGACTAGGGAATGACTAATTGAATTACTCTTGGGTATAAGTTACATTCTCTTTTTAGAAAACAAGACTTTAGTTATATATGGGAAGGAAATTATGGAAAAGTTGTTTAAAGCTCATTCTAGTTTTGACAAAAAAAAATTCCAGTTCTACAATTAAGTCTTTATCCAAGTGTATGCCAATAAGCTTATACTTTGTTTTTGTGCAATGGAGCTAATTAAACAAGGTCCTGAGATAAAAAGGTGTTAAGTTTACAGAACTTTATAGACAATGTTATCCAATTCACCTAACTGAACAAATTTTTAAAGTGTATCCATGAATATAAAATATCCAGATGAAGAAAATTCTCAAAATACTACTAGCTACGTTTCTTTAAAAAAAAAATTGCTTTCAAATTTTTTAAGACTGCTCCCTTGTCATTTGCCGTTGAAATCTTCCATTATAGGATTTTATTTTGCTGTCTGGACACAAGGCCACTAAGGCTATAAGTTGGTCACTGCCCTTGTAAAGGTCAGAGCCAGAGCCCTTCAAAGGCTAGACACAATTATATAACCTACCAAGGAAATCTATGCTGACAGTTATTTTCTATCTTGCATTATTGGTTTTTCTTTTTCCCTATAAATGTCTGTTTATATGAACATTTTTTTTTTAGGGTTCTGGGATGGAACCTAGGACCCTGCACATGTAAGACAAGTGCTCTATTCCACTGAGCTGTTTCCCCACCCCCCCGCATTTTTGGCTCAACACATAAGAGCTGCAAAACTTGCTACATAAAAGCACCCCTTGAACCAAAAGCAAGGTCAAGCTTTCCCCCCAGTCAGGATTTGTTCAGAACTAAGTGTTGTTTGAGGTTTTTTATTTTTTGTATTGCCATGGGTTGGGGGCAGGAACTAGGAGGGGTGAAGGACAAAGTCTTATATCTGCCAAAATTTTACATTTCTTGAAATTAACTTACCTATTTTCCTCCCCTTTGCTTGCCTAGTTGGTACATCCCCTTTTCTAAATTTAACTACTAAAGATTATTTTTCATACAAGTATAAACAACCCTAATCACGAAACTGCTTCTTAGAAGTTTAACACATATCCAGACAGCATTTTTTCCTCCCATCTGTCCCCACTCCTTGCTAATCTGGGAGCTATGGTGGCCTGCCTAGTATTATCTGACCATTTTTTTCCTGCTGCGGTTATTAATTTAGGCAATTTAACTACAAGGTATACTCAAGACTTTTTGAAAGGCACAGATAAACTGTAGGACACCTAAACTAATGAGCATTAAAGTTGGAATCTTCCTCATTGATTAAGTATATGCAATCTTCCTTCACAATGTATAYTGAAAAGTTAACTAGTGCCAGTGATTGCTAGCAGTAATTGCTAAACATACAAAAACCTACTTCATATTGTTAAAATATCTCTATTGTGATCAAACCTTTATCCCAAAAATTTCAAGTGAACCTACATCACCAYCTAAAAACTAACTTGTACCAAAAAATTCCTAGGAGTATGAAATGAAGTTTAAAAATCTGATTTTACAGTAGCTAAAACAAAATCCTAAACACTCAAATATAGCAAACCTGAACTTACCAGAAACAACCTAAAACACAAAAATAAAAAATAAAACTACACTGAAGTCAAATTTTAGTTCTACAGTTTGACTCCTGATTCCTCACTTCACAGTGAGGGTCCTTTAGAAGATTAAGTGTTCTGTGCAAACCCAATAAAATTACAATTAGGGGATCTAATGTTATCACATAGCTACAGTTAAGTTAGCAGTGTTGTGTAGTAGTGAAATCAACAACTGGCTTACATGATGGCTTCTAAAAGCATCTGTTCCTGGAGTTTCATGTATCATAAATATGTATATAAAATTATCAGTTGAGGACAGCCGTTAGCATTTCATAAAGATGATACAGTGAGCGTTAACTTCTCCCAGCCAGTACCTTTTCCCCTCATTAAATGTTAAAAGCCGTCTGGGGGGGAGGGGAAGGGAAGAATTCAAACTTTTACTTCATATTATCAATCATCAGTACACATTTAAGTTTTTAAAACCTAAATGTTCCAAGTACAGAGTAAAGAATAAGCTGTCCAGAAAGCACACACTTAAAATTTCTCCTCTTGGGAGTTGTATAAAGGGATTTTGAACCTTGATGGCGAGAATCCCAAAACAAGAGTAAAATGAATTCTTTTTATTGCAAACAAACGTCTAAATTAATTTCTCCACCCACTTTCTTTAGAAAGAAAAAGAAATCAGCAGGCTAAGGAGATACCCATTCAAGAACTGACATGATTAAAAATTAAGATATAAATGGGTGACTCACAATTTCATTAGCTTACAAAGATGGTGGAGTTAACTACTACAAGCACACTAGTTATACAGTATTTTGTGGGAGAAGGGCATACAGACATAGCTAACTTCATATAGATCCCATTAGACAACTGGATTTACAACAAGTTTTTTAATAAGAAATGGGCAAAGCCAGCTTTCTTTTCAGAATCAAAATGCAGAACAAATGGAAAAATTATGGTATTTAACCTTCACAAGTTTGAGCCTCCACAAATAATGCAACCAAGTTTTACATTTTTAACAGCCCTTCTACATACACTCCATCTTCTCCATGTTGGTTCCAAGTTTTAGCTTCATTCCCAATTATGCCAATTCCATTGTCATTTAAACTGAAAAAGCCTTCCCAGTCTTTGTTGGAAATTACTATTTAGCTTATCCCCTCCACTACTACCCAGCAAACTAGAGAGAGGATGGAGTGTAATATTGAGCAGTACAGAGTCTTAATGCAATTCATGAGGACCACTTAGTCCTTACATGAATCTGGTTGCTAACATTTCTATTATATTGTGACAATGACTCCCGACTGTTATTCTCTGTGAGAAATAGGGGAGTAAATTCTTAATAAAAGACACCAGGTACAAAGCAACATTTTACTTTTGTTGTGATAAAAAAAAAGTCACATTTTACAGATAAAATGTAGAACCCTGAAATACTGACACATTCTCTTATCGTGCACAATGCTGAGGTTCTCTTACGATTCACTTTAAAACTGCAATTAAAAATGTACAAAAAAGAAAAGAAAAAAAAATCAACCCACAAAGCTTCTAAAAAAGGAACCCGCAGGCACTTCCTCTTGTGGAATGTTTAAAAAGTTAGCCTACTAAAGAAAACAGTCGACTTCTTGTGAAGGTTTTGGAGAAATATGTATCAGTTCGTTTTATTTGGGTATTCAATAATATCCTTGGTGATAATGCTGACTCCATGGCTTCTGACCCCAGAATTGCTGTAAGAGAAAATTTTTTTTTTAAAGAAAAAACATCAATAAGCCACTCAAATTGCTTTTAGGAAATGACAATGAATCTAATTCAGAGTAAATGCTGGAAATAAATTATACTTGTCATACCTCTGATTTCTATCAAACCAGATTTAGTTTTATTATCCCATTATTTATCAATACACATTACAAAAAGAAACACATCATGACTTGGTTAGTTTACACGATTAATATTAATTAAAATATTACTTCGTTAAAAATAGTAAGTTATGGCAAACTCAAAATCTATTTATGGACTACAACAATTCATACCTTGCCTTATTAAGGTTTACAAACACTTCAATCCCTGGACAAGATCTTTTTGAGACTGATTTTTACTCAAAATACAATTAATGTACATAATCATGTAAGAAATTACTTACACCCTGCTGCCACTGGTTGTAGCCCTGAGATTGATTTTTATAGCCACGATTGTTTCCTCGTCCTCTGAAGTTCTACAAAAAGGAAAAAAATCTTTTAAGAAGTCTTAACCCAAAAATTTATCATGCCTGCAGGGATCCTGATTGGGAAGTGGGAGTGGGCAGAAATGGACAGCTTGCTAGACATTAACTTGGGGAAATAGCCCTAGGTACCCTTCTGCAAGTTTCTCATAGATTTTTAAATCTTTGTAAAAATTCACCTGTTTTTGCTACTTAGTGTACCTGAAAAGCCAATAAATGAATTCGTTTTACCATTACTATATTAAATTTTTTCTCACATCAATGCAAACACACCATTTTCCATAGTTGCTTCTTGAGGTTCTTCAACATTAGCCTATAATTTTACAGACTAAATTACAGACATCAGTGCCGCTTTATCATTACCTGGTTATAGTTCCCTCTGTTGGGCATTCCACCTCTGTTGTAGTTCCCTCTGTTTGAGTAGCCACCTCGGCCAGGAAAAACAGGGCCACGAGGGTATGGATAGCCAATTCCACCACTTCCACCGCCACCACCACCTCTCTGTGGCATATTGCCCCGCCTATTATATCCACCACGATTCCCAGGAGCTAAAAGCAAGGAAGTAGGTACCCAGTTAGGCCTCTTATTTTAAGATAAAAGCATTAAAAGATAATTTTAAGCATTTATACAACCTAGTTTTGTTTAGAATCAAATCACTAAAATTTTAAATTACTTGCTTTGATGGCAGAATAGATCAATGAGAAACAAACTTCTGTTTAAGTTACAGACCCAAGTTATAAGATTCTCCCATTTCAATCTTGAATTAAACACAATATTCAAATTTAACTTACCTCCCCCTCTGAAGTTTCCACCACGCATATTGAATCCTCCACGTCCTCTATGGCCACCACCTCTGTTAAACTGGTTCTTGCCACTCTTGTTTTTATTGCTCTTCTTTGAGCCAGTGTTTTGTTTCTTTTCTGGTGGAAGTGCCTTTTTGCTTTCTTCCTTATACTGTTCCAGAAGTTTTTGAGCTTCTTCCTTCTGAAGTTCAACATAGGTTATTTCATCAAAGCACTCGGCCACCTCTGGCAGAGTAAAGTTACCTGCCAAGAACAAAATCAAATTAAGTCAGAAACTCATGGCAAGTATCCATAATCCTAGAACTTTCTATTCCTGAATAGCTTAAAATTTTTATCAGATTACTATATCTACTCATGGTTTAATGGTTTAATGAATTTTCTAAAAATTATTACAATGAGCCAAACACATTTATATTCCCAAGAGTTAATGGCAGTTCCTCAAACAAAAGTACTTGCAAAATATTAATTTTTCAGATACAAATCACATAACAAGACAGCAACAATAAAATTGAATTCCACACCTTTCATTTTAAGGACTGCATGTTCTGGTAGATCTTTTCCCTCTACTTCTGCTTTCTTCTGTGTTCTCTGCTTGTAGTCTTCATCTTTTGGACAAACTACAACAGCTTTTCGTTGGAAACCTGCAAACAGGCACATTTTTCTCCTCTGGGCAGCAGCAGATACATTTGTCTTGTAAAGGAAAAAAATAATAAGTTTATAACCTTAAACATTAATTCCATACCAAACCAAGTATCAGTAAACATTTTTTCAACTTCTAAGCTACAACTCACCTGATCCAGAATGAAATTTCGTTTCTTGCGGGCAGCAATCTCAATAAACTTTCCAAGACACTGTGGGGCTCTCTGCAACAGTGTGTTCAGTTTTCCAGTATCTGCCATTTGTTTTTTAAAACCTGCCACCTRTTTTTAAAATTTAAAATTTTATTTGAATTTGTGAATCAAGCCACGTGTGTTTAATACCAGCTTAGATCTATATGGGAAGCAACAAGTAACACTTTATAATTTAAATGTTTGAACAAAGTAGAACTTTTTATCATATTGTAAGACCACTGAATTCTTTTCATTGCTAAAAAATAAAAAAAAAATCTATGAAAAAGATGACTAAGCCTATCAAGTAGAATGCAATTTGCCTTACAGATTGAGAGCTAACGGAAGTAACCCAATAATTTTGTTTTGCCCAACTCCCTAAGATATTAACAAAATACATTTTAAAAAGAGGGGGAATACCTTCAATGTCTTCTTAAATAAGTATTAAGGTTTTGTGTTTTTTTTAAGTGCTAGGGATTGACAATAACCAAAGCCTTGCACATTCTTGGCAAGGACTCTCACTGAACTGTGGTCCACTACCCTTTTTGGGCCTCCTTTAAATGCTGAAATCAGAACCAATATTTTTACTTACCATCATTTTATCCATAATGGTATTTGTTCCAAGAATGTTGTATTTACCAGGATTTTCAGCTGCATGTTTAGTAACCCAGGTAGTTTTTCCAGCTCCTGGCAAGCCAATCATCATAACAACCTGCAAGTGGAAAAAATTTCATTTTTAAGTACATCCAAATATTTTAGACAACACATCAAGATTTGTTCATGGAAGGTTTACTATTATCTATAAAGGCAAAAAAAAATCATTGGCTGAGAGCAATAGGTATAACATGAAAGCAAATAAAACACTTTTGTCAAAGAAAAGCAATCTTCAAATGCCACATTTACAAAAAATGACTCACTTCACAATCTTTCTTCTCTTCAGGCCCCTTTGGTCCTCTAACTCGATCCTCTAGGGGGACATTCTGGATAAAAGTATAGTCTTCGGGTATTGGAAAATATGGCTTTTCCTTCTGACCAAAATTAAATTCAACTGCACAGTTATGGCAGAGAACATGCGGAAAGAGTGGTCGTCCAGCAAGAACTTCCTTACTAATTTTGAAGGCAACGCCAAGATCTTGTCCGTTCTTGGCATAGGAGAGCTCTACTTCATCGTTTTCAAAGTTCTGTTAAATAGAAGAAAAAAAATTTACCAGTTTGAATCTGCTTCCTATAATCTTTCAAAAAAAAAAATCAAAATTCAAATAAGGAGTAAGCTTACCCTTAGAAAATTTTTATAGGTTAAATGCTAAGAGCTTTTTGAACATTAGAATGAAACACAGAATCAAAAACATTGCCCCAGATGACGGATGAGATTTTTCAGGCCCATTTTATGTTTAATAATTTGTCAAAATGCTTCCTTAAAAATTTCCCTTACCTTTTCAGTTTTCAACTTCTACTAGTCTTTAACCCAAAACCAGTGCATGCATTTTTATCTATCATACTAACARCTGATCCAGACCTTAATTTTTTTTAGAATTTCTAGACAATAACTTCACTTATATAGCGAATTTTAGCAATAACTTACAGCAAAACATGTAATAACATCATTTTCATCAAACTTCTCTCCATAATCTTCTGTCTCACAGTTGCATGTTTTAATTCCTTTTAGAGAATACCCATACGAAAATTCTTCTTCACCTAAGAAAATAACTTGCATGAAACTGATGTTTTTTAAACAGTCCAAAGCCCCACTGTTTTTATTCTACCAGATGTAGAATTGAATATAAATTGAATATAAATATATAAATAAAACTGAGTAATGGATAAAATTTAACCATGTCCTACATTTTTAAAAAATCACTGATAAAAGCTAAAATTAGCTAAAATTCAGCTTGTCTGCTACATGCTAGCATTACCCACTTGTAAAATACTAACAGAATGGATAACTATAGTTAGAAAGCCTTCTAAATCTTTAACTGAAATCAGACTCTAATCAGAGCCCTTAGTACTCAAATGGAAACTTTACCAAGCAACATTCCACTTGTAGTCAGTGACCAGCCAATTCGAACTTCATGAATGTCAATATCTTTTGTATATAAATGCCTTACAGGAATCTTCTCTGTAACCTGAAAAGTGAAATCATTAAACCAAACTGTAAATCAAGAAAGATAAACTCCTGAATCCTGACTTCTCTCACTTGGGGAGAAGACACCCAATTCTCCTTCTTTCCCTACTCCKTATCCTTTATTTATAAGAACTTTAAAAGTGAGCACTTTTTAACTCAGAGCAAAAAAGGTTTCAATTAGCTAAGAGTTTTTTTAAAAAATTTGTACTTTAAAATTTAAGCTAGTTTTTAAAAAAAATCCTTGGTAGCTTTTTCATGTACTATTTAAAAAGCCAAGATGGTGGGGGGGGCACGTCACAAAATTGCATTTACCTTCATCTCAAAGCAGACTTTKCCTTTTGACACACCATAAGATGCCCTTCCTCCAGCCCAAAGAAAAGCAAAACTCTCCATAGTAAGAGAAGAAGCACTGAGGCGATCTCTTGATATTTTAAAATGTAGATCACAATTATCTGTAATTATATAAAATASCAATTATTCCTTTGATATCTAATATATGTATTTCTGCTATGTAGACAAAATTTGGTTAAGTTTTTACAAGTATTTTAATGCTGCATATAAGATTTTATATATCATGCTGTTCCAACTTTCAATTTAAACCCCACTCCCACCAAGTCACTTGTCAATTATGTRCTAGAATAAACTTCCTATTAAATTAACCAAGGCTTAATGTGTTTTAAGCAAAATTGAGACAATGTGACAATACATACCTGCTCTGCTCTTTACCTTGATTTAGAGGCAAGCAGTAGAGGATAGCAGGAAATCAAAGTGAAGCATGCCAGAACCAGGTAGAATTTACCAGTGCCACAATAAAACTGAAGGGAGGCCACCGCCAATGTTTTAAAATAAAGAGTATGAGCTGTTGATCCTGCACTTTGTAACTTAACACCCGGGTTCCAGGTCCTTAATTCTTTTCTACAACTTGTGCATCACACAGTCTGAACCCACTAACCTGGTCATCTAAAGGTTTACTACAGCATTTTAGGTCCCCTTGCAGGAGCTTTCCAGTTATAACAATTAGAGATTAACCACTTCCTGGATTATCCAAATCGTCTTTTACCTAGCTATCTTTGGGTCACTAGCTCATTAACATGTATTTTCTCAAGAGTTCTCCCTTGACAAGACAACTAACCTCAATTTAGAAAGCAGTTTTATTTAGTTTTAATTGATCAGAGTTTAATCTGTTTAGAATTCTCCTTAAATAAGCTTTGTTCCTAAAATTTCTGATCATCATTGATACATAATTAAACAAATTGTGTCTACACCCATTATCACCCTTAATAAACTGATACTCCTGGTAATAGGCAATAAAAACCCAATTCCTATGCAATGACATTACCCCTTCTGAATCACTGCTTCAGCACCTTACCAATTCCTACCAATTTTTTATTTAAGCAACTGAATTTGACATAAAACTTTCAATTCAACTACTTTGCAGTTTTAAGACTCAACTACCTGTAAGGGGTATTCAAAAAGAAATCAAGTTTCACACTTAACACAATCCACAATCAAGGAAACATGAAAAATCTAAGCTTCAACTCCTCTTAGCTACCAGAACAGGTTATTACCTTACCTCCTCCTCCTCAAGAATTTATTTCTACCCTTCATTCTATTAATCTCAAAGAGTTATGCATTCTGACCAAACACTAAATCAATATAATTTTTTATAATTAAAAAATGCAAGTCTGACAGCCAAGGCCCACTTAAGAGGTTTGCAATACTTCCTCATACTCAATTGCAGCCCAACTGGGTAAAGTAGCAGTATTTACAGCGCTGCCATTGATACCATTCGCTGCTGAAGAAAGCTAGTGGCCCAGTGATAGCCCACTGCTGCTGCCCCAGGTCTTTGGAAGAAATCAACTTATGTTAAAGCAGCAGCTACTGAACTGGAATTGAGAACAAAAGAGCAGTTATTGAAAAAGTAATATTACAATCTTTTAGAATAGGGAATATACTTGTGTGCTAATGGGAAAAGTCATTAGTAAATATTTAACAAACCCAAATAGCTCACTTAATATAATTCCACACACAAAAGAAATTATCGTAGAAGCCTTATAAGGACAGTGATAAGTAGTTTTTACAATTGTTAGTCAAAAATGACATTAAGAATGAGTTTAAGTCATAAAATGTTATCAAATTGCTACAACCTATTAAATTATCAATGAAAGTGCAGTCGTACTAAACATTAAATACTACCAGAATCCAAAATAAAAACCATTATCTTCCTGCCTTTAGAAAACACTAACCTAAGCTTCTTCACTTAAGTTCAACATTAAGTTTTCTAACATTTTGGAACCAAAAAAACCACTGTATTCAATAACTGGGGGGCAGGGGGGATAAGAGTATCAGCTTCACTTACAAGTATCAAGACAAACCACTGTGTCATCGAAGTGCTCATCTTCTTCTTCAACAGGTGGCTGAGGAGACTTGGCTCTGAAAGACAGAATTGTCTCCTGATATAGCTTTTCCTAGCAAAGCATGAAGAATGGGTACAAGCAAAACTAGGTTCGTATCCTGTACCTGCTGTACTTGTTTTCTTCAATGTACTCAAAATATCCTCGGCCATGATCTTCTCGAGGTCTTTTAACACCTCTCTTTTTATCTCCGCCTTTCTGTTCTGTTTTGCCGTCTCCTATAACACACAACACTCTTTGAGATGCCAAGTGGCCAAAATATTTCTTAAATATAGAATCAAAACAATACAAAATAACCCACCACCTTTTCTGTTTCAAGGCGCAAAAGTCCTCGACTTCACCCTGTTATTTTAGGACCTTTTAATCGACGAAYCAAATGTGAATTCAAAGAACAATCAGCTTGGAAATGGACTGGAGATTAGTGACGCAGTCTAAAGACGTTACTAATTTTACCAGTCTAATAGACAATTCGAGAAAGCCAAAGAAAAAGCGCGGCCCAAGCCCGGAGCCCACGTGCATCCCGACGAGAGTTCAGGAAGGGGGGAGGGGCCAAGCGGGGCTCCGCGGCCCGCCCTCCCCTCCCCCACTCTACCCGGGCCCGCGCGGCCCGCCGCCGCATTGTACTGATCTTCCGCCCCACTCTCCGCGCCCGGCTCCTCCCGCCGGAAGTGACGTCACGCCGAGCCCCTGCGCTCCTTGCACAATACCGCGGCGAAGAGCCGCCAAAGCGCGCCCGCCCCGGGACCGCGGGCCTCTCCCCTCCCCCCGAGACATGTGCCCGCACCTCGCGCACGCAGCGCGGCGGCGCCACCGCGGGCCGACGGGGCTCCCCCCCCTCCAGCGGCAGCTGCAGCTCCCCCCCCCCCCGGCTCCCGAGACACATAATGGAGGCACTGCCACCACCGTCACACCGAGCCCGAGGCCTATCGCTTAATCCGGGATTCCCCATACCCCTCCCCCACCGCGCAGCAGCCCCCGCCCGGGGCTCCCTCCCCCCCGCGGGGCTCCGGCTGGCCTGGGGCACGGTCCCCACCCCACGCGGGCCTCCCGCCGCGCGCAACGTACAACGCAGCACTCACCCGCCGCCGGAGCCCCGGGGCGACCGCCGCCTCCGCCGCCTTCCGCCTTCTTCTTACCTCCCGCCTGCTGCTGGCCCTGCCTCGCCCCGGGCGGCGCCACCGTCACCGCGAACAGCGAGGTGGGGCCGCTGCTCTTCCCCGCGGCCTCCTTGGCGGCCCCGCGCTGCTGTGGGGGCTGTTGCTGCGCCGTCGCCGGCGGTTGAGGCTGCTGCTCCCCGTGCCCGTTCTCGTCGCCCGCGCCCTCCTCCTCGTCTCCGAGCTCGTCCTCGCCTTCCTGGAAACCTTGATCGTCGCCGTTCTCGTCTTCCGAGGCGGCCTCCTCCTCTTCCATCGGGCCCGAGTCGGCCGCCCCCGCGGCCCCGTTCTCCTCCCCTAGCTCCATCTGGTCGCCGTCCAGCGCGGCAATCCCTTCTTCCTCCTCTTCCTCCTCCTCGTCGCCGCCGGCCGCGGCCTCCTGCTCGAGGCCTGCTCCCGAGCGCCCGGCGGAATCCCCGCCCAGGTCTAGGCTGCCGTTCCCGGGCTCCATGGCGGGGCGGCCGCCGGCCTCCTCGTCGTCCAGCGCGGCCTGGAGTCGATCCATGAGCTCGGCCTTGAGGCCCTTGTCGGAAAGGCGCCGCTTCTTGAGCTCCTCTTTCAGCTCCGACACCTTCAGCTTTTTAACATTAACAGGCGAGGAACTCATGGTGAGGGCCCCGATTCACCGATAGGTGCTGGTTCAACCTCGGCTCCGCTCCCTCGGCCACTGGTGGCGGCGGCTGCTCCTCGGCCCGGGCGGCAGCTGCGGCTGGAGATGGGTTCGTGCTGCAGAGCGGACCCGCCTGGTTGTCGAACGGCGCCAAATCCTTTCACCGAGTTCGCGAGGGAGACGCGGAGACTCGCCTGGCGCGAGCGAGCACGCAACGTCCTCTCGCAGGGGCGGCGCCGCGCACGTAATATAGCCGCCCCGCCCCCTACGTGACGAGACTCTGCGCCGGAGGAGAGCCGGAGCGCGCCCGCGCCCGGCCCCGCCCCTTCCCAGCCCTATTTCCCCGCCCTCAAGCCGAGCCCGTCGGAGAGCGCGGCGCGGGCCGTTCAGTGCGCTTCCAATTGGGACCCAGCAAATGGAGGAAAAGGAAACCGCCTTTTGGTTAAACCGATCCACTGCAAAAACTATTGGCCTTTCTTGTTCTTTAGTGGCAATAATACACCTTTTGCTCCTTGCTTTTCCTGCCAGGAGGCCGCTTTCTCCAAAAGCTTTCAGTCCTCAACTTGGCATTTTCAACTCGAATCCTTCACCTTCCATCTTAGATTTGCTTTTTTGTCTATTTTTCCAGCTATTCGTTTGATCTCCTTAAAAAGTCCACKTCTGACATGCATAACACAAATTGGCAATTATTTTACGCAGGGAGTTTTTTTTTGTTTGCTTATTTAATATTCGGCTTAATTTTTCAAGTCCTGCCTTGCGAATTGTATTTGAAGTTCAGGAAGGGCGAGGGCAAAGCCTTTCTTTTGTTTCTTCCACAACCCCTGGTGCAAGGCCTGAGAAATAGAGATTTGTTGTACCACTTAACTCCATACTGCATGGCATATATTATGAGCCTTTTCATGGCAGCTATTCTCAGTTAKTAATAGCCTTTAAATAAGCTTTATATAGCATCTCTTGAGTTTTCTCTACCAAATGACGCACGCCTACTATAAGACATTCTCTCCAGCTTTTTACCTGGTAGTCTGGTTAGGAGGTCCCAGCAGCCAACAATAAAGGTGTGACCCAGCTACGCTGTATACTTTTTATATTCTTTCCCTATTCTTAGAAATACTCTTAACCAAATCATGCTGAAACTCAGAGTTTGTTAAAAAAAAAAAAAAGCGATTTAGTCTAAAGAACAGAAAGTGTCATTCTCAAAAAGAAATCTATGACGTTGCTGAATTTTAGAAGTTAAATTTAATCTTTAATATATAAAAGCTGTGGTATGTTCTTGAAGTTTTAGGAAGGGGGCCAGAATTTAGATTTGTGATTGAAGTTAATGTCTTAAACCTCAAAGAATCTACTTAGTGACTAGCTAGTGTCTCAGGAGTTCAGTTACACCAGGGGTTTAGTGATCTAGCTGGCACCATAATACCGTGCCCCACTGCTTACTTGAAATTTCGAAGTGTAAAAATGTTAAATTTCCCCTATTGGCTAATACGATTTAGCTGATTAATAAATTTTATTTTACTTACAAAATCATTTTTGTACTGGGATTAAAGGGGCACTTTACCATTGAGCTACTTTTGCCAGTTCTTTTTATTTTTATTTTGAGACAGGGTCTCACGAAATTACCCAGATTGGCCTCAAACTTGTGATCCTCCTGCCTCTGCCTCCTGAATTGCTGGGATTACAAGCATGTGCCATKGTGCCCAGCAGTTTTTATTTTATAGTTTCTGTTTGATAGTTTTTAAGAAGCATCATATCTTAACATGCAGTCATGTATAAAGATGAACTATTAATATTTGTAAAATGATTCAAATTGAAATTAACAAACTGTGTACAGTACTGATAATTCTTAAGTTAATGAGGGTTGCCCCCAAAATGGTGCCAAAACCTATTTTACCCTTTGGTTATAATGTCTTTGATACTCATGAACAAACTATTATTTGCTCTCTGTTCAAAAACAGGAAGAGAGCTATGGGGGGCTTACATGTTCACAAACTGGATAATCCCTTAATGAATCAGATTTAAATATTATTAAATATTATTATTGTGATGGTTCTTTAAATGTGCAAATGTCCTTAGTCATTATTTACATTTTTAAATATTAGGGATATGGAAACAACTTTCATGTAGCTGGGAAGAAAACTAAACTATGAAAGAGGTTTATGTATCCAAGTGTAATAGATTTATAACAGCCATCCTTAGAATATTAAATCAGTTGTAATAATAGACGTGAAATATAGCTTTTGATGCACATGAAAGTTTCCATGGCTTTATCTCCAAGAGCTTTGCAGACTTTTAGAGCTTAATGGGATCAGATAATCTACTGCCTTCTCATAGTACAACCCAGGAAGCTGAGACCCACACTCCCAACCTATGCTCCTTCTGTTCCATTGGGTTGCTCTAAACAATATTTAAAGAAAAGGTTTTTCTAAATGCTCCAAGAACCATCATCTCACTGTCTGTCCTCCTTAAAAAAAAAAAAAAAAAAGTGCCATTCCATGTTTTATCTTGCCACCTAARAGTTCAAATAGTGATCTAATTTAGTAATTATTTTTGCTTCATATATATGTGTGTGTGTGTATGTGTATATGTATATGTGTGTGTGTGTATATATATATATATATATATATATATATAAAATATTTATTTATTTATAGTTGTAGTTGGACACAATACTTTTATTTTATTTATTTTTATGTGGTGCTGAGAATCGAACCCAGGGCCTTGCCCATGCTAGGCAAGCACTCTACCTCTGAGCCACAACCCCAGCCCCCCAATATATATATATATATATACACACACACATATATACACACACACACACACACACACATACTTTTTAAAGATTGATTTTTTTGTGTGTGTGTTCTGCTAAGGATGAAATCCAGGGGCTCTAAAATGATAAGCATGTGCTCTCCCACTGAGCTATACCCGAAGCCCTGCTTCTTATTTACTTGTTTGTTTGTTTATTTGTTTYGTTGCAATACTGGGGATCAAACCCAGGGCCTCCTGTGTGCTAAGCAAGCACACCACCATTGAGCTACACACCCCCAGCCTCCTGTTTCTTATATTTTTAATGCTGCCATCATAGCTTTGCTCTACAGAGACCACTAAAAGTTCAGCTTACTTCCCCTAAATCTATAAGATCCTACAAGGAACTTTAAACTCCCCTTTTTTTGAAATCCTAGAGACTGCAGTGAATATAGAGTGGGAGACATGACAAATTAATTCTCAATAACAAGAAGTGATTAACAAATTGTCCATGAATAATAGAGCTTTGTGAGATAATTACAAAGCAAGTTCTGTATGTAATACATATATTTTGATGTTGAAGCAAAGTATACTTTGTCACATAATTCACTCAATTCACTCAGCAAATATTTTTTGAGCACCTTCTTCATGACAGCACAAGTAGTCTATTAGGAATGTAACAGTAAACTATGACATTATGCCTTTACTCTCTTAGACTTAATAAACAAAATAGAGATGATGACACACACTACCAGAAAAAATAAGCAGAGGAGAGGTAGAGCATGCCAAGGGGACAGGTGGTGATGGTGGTGGTGGTAAGTTTTTCAGTTATACAAGGGGTATCCAGGTGAACCTAAGAAATAAGGTAACATTTTACTGTTATACAGGATATATAAATGCGAGAGATCTGCTATACCACATAGTGTCTACAGTTAAAAATAAGATACTATACACTTAAATTTTTTCTATGAGGGCTGGGGATGCAGCTCAGTGGTAGAGTGCTTGCCTAGCATGCAAGAGGCCCTGCATTCCGGCACTACACACACACACACACACACACACACACACACACACACACAGAACCATAAATTTATTAAGAGTGTAGACCTTAAATGTTTTACCCCCAAAAAAAGAAAAACAAACAGATAAACATGAGAAAACCATTAGAAGTCCTGGAGCTCTTCATTGTGCCTATTATGGTGGTGGTAATTAATATAAGCATTTGAAAATGCCCAAACTCACCAAATTGCATACATTAATTAGGTGCCCTTTTTTATATACCAATTATATACCTCAATAAAACAGAGGYATAGACAAAAAGAAACTAAGAAACATTTGAGCAAATACCTAGAACAGGGATGCCAGAGGATCAGCAGATGCAGGGCCCTGAGAGGGAGGATAGAAGAGATAGRGAGAAAGGGGAAGAGAGAGAGAGTGGTTGCCATACTTCTGGTAGTTTCCCAAAGACTTTGGCTTTTGCCTCCTGCTGTGGACTGAATGTTTGTGTCCCCACAAAATTTGTATGCTGAAACCTAATCCTCTATGTGATAGTATTAGAAGGTGGGGCCTTCCTTTGGAGTTAACTGGGTTGTGAAAACAGGGCTTTCGTGACTAGGATTAGTACCCTTGTAAAGGGTCCAAAAGACCAGTTTACTTCTACCAAGTGAGGACATGGCAAAAAGTTAACTTCTATAAGATATGGGCCCTGAGGAGATACCAAATCTGCTAATGCATTAATGTTAGACTTCTCAAATTCTAGAAGTGAGAAAGACATGTCCCTGTTTACAAGTTAATGAATTCATTACTTATATATGTATTGTGTGTGTGTGTGTGTATTTTTTGGTAGCACTGGAGATTGAACACAGGGCCTTGTGTATGCTGGGCAAGTGCTCTACTACTAAGCTACATGACTCACCATATTTTGTTATAGCAGTGCAAATGGACTAAAATATCTCCCGTAGAAGGAAGACATTTAAAGGGTTATTAGCAGAGGAATGATATGAATTGACARGAATGGTAAATTAGATGGACTCAATGATGATATTCCATTTGACTATTTTTTTGATAGTATAATCAAGCCCAATCTAAACTAATGAAAGAAACATGAAATWTGCTGAGATACATTTTCCAATGTATTTTACAAAAAAATAAAAGAAGTTAAAGGACCTTCAAATTATTAGGTATTAAAAGTAGACACTTTTACACAAACGGGAAAGCCCACTTGAAAGGGAGGATGCAATAAGATTTGATTAAAGGCATAATCTTTAAACCAGGCATGGTGATGTACACCAGTATTCCTTGCTATTTGGAGACTGAGGCAAGAGGAYTTTAAGTCCATGGCCAACCTTAGCAACTTAGTGAGATTATGTCTTTAAAAAAAATTGCCAAATGAAGACATAACATTCACTAAAACTCATACATACGCTTGAAATCCCAGCGGCTYGGGAGGCTGAGACAGGAGGATCCCAAGTTCAAAGCCAGGCTCAGCAAAA